AAATTTAGGTTGAGAACTTATTGGTAATTTAGAATTTGGAATTAGATTGGGAACTTAAAATAAATATGATTAATATGCTAAAGGCTCTAATGGAAGAAGTGGACAACATGCAAGAACAGATGGGTAATTAAGCAGAGATTAAAAAGAAAAGCCTAAGAAAAAATCAAAAGGAAATGCCAGAAATCAAAAGCACCCTAACACCAATGAAGAATGTCTTGGGTGGGCTCATCAGCCAAGGAAAGAATCACTGAGCTTGAAGATATGTCAACAGAAACTTCCCAAACTAGAAAGTTAAAGAGAGAGAGAGAGAAAAGAGAGAGAAGCAGAACTTCCCAAACTAGAAAAAAAGTAAAACAAAACAAAACAAAAAAACCCACAGCACAGAATATCCAATAACTATGGGACAACTAGAAAAAATGTAATGTACATTATGCCAGAAGGAGAACAAAGAGAAAACAAAACAGAAGAAACACTTGAAATAATAATGGCTGAGAATTTTGCAAAATTAATGTTAGATACAGAACCACAAATTCAGGAAGCTTACAGAACAACAAGAATAATAAATACCCCAAAAATCTATACCTAGGTATATCATATACTAACTGTAGAAAATAAAAAACAGGAGAACGTCTTAATAGAAGCTGGGGTGGGGGCGGGGGGAGCACCTTACCTATGAAAAGAATTACATTAGACTTCTCTTTTAGAAACCGTGCAAGCAAGTAGAGAATGGAGTGAAATACTAGTACTTTAAGTAATAAAAGAAAAAAAATCCACCAACCAAAAATTCTGTATCCCAAGAAATTATCCTTCAAAAGTCTAGGAGAAATAAGAATTTCTCAGACAAACAAAAATTGAGGAATTTTGCTGCCAGCAGACCTTACAAGAAATTTTCTAATAAGTTCTTCAGAGAGAAGAAAAATGATATGGGTTAGAAACTCAGACCTACATTGAGAAAGGAAAAGTGTTAGAGAAGAAAGAAATGAAGATAAAACAAAATCCTGTATTCTTTTTATTCTTAATAACAGATAAAAACTTGTCAATAATAGATTATAACTTTTGGACAAGTAAAATGGATGACAGCAATATTATAAAAGGCAGTAGGGAAGAATTAGAAATACTCTATTATAAGGTATCTGCATTACCTATGAAGAGATACAGTGTTACATGAAAGAAATTTAGATTAGTTGTAATGCATATTGCAAGTTATAAGGCAACCACTAAAAATGTTTAAAAAGAAGTATAATTGATATGCTGAGTGGAAGGAAAATGAATCACATACTACTAAAATGCTCAATTAAAACCAGAGGAAACAAAAATAATAAAAGACAAAAAAGGAATAAGGAACAAAGGCAAGGACTAGAAAATAGTTACTAATATGGTTAAGTATTAAACAAACTGTATCCATAATCCCTGTAAATGTAAATGGTCTAAAGGCACTACTGAAAGACAGAGGCTGTCAGAGTGGATTAAAAATAACAAGACCCAAATATATGTTGGCTACAAAAAAACCTACTTTGAATGTAAAGACACAGATAGAGTAAAAGTAAAGGGACAGAGAAAGATACATCATGCTGTGTAGCTATATTAATTGCAGACAAGGCAAACTTCAACAACGAAAATTATTAGGGATAAAGACTGGCATTATATAATGGTAAAGCAGTTACTTTTCCAAGACATAAAAATCCTTAATATGTATCAACTAACAACAGAGTATCAAAATATGAGAGACAAAAACTGATAGGACAAAAGGAGAAACAGACAAATCCACTATTATAGTTGGACATTTCAATACAACCTCTGTCAGTACCTAACAAATCCAGCAGGCAGAAAGTCAGTAATAATATACTTGAACTGAACAGTACCATCAATCAACTGTATCTAATTGACATGTACAGAATACTTTACCCAACAACAGCAGAATACACATTCTTCTCAAGCTCACATGAAAAAATTCACCAAGATAGACACAATCTGGGCCATAAAATACATCTCCACAAATTTAAAAGACTAGAAAATGATACAAAGTATGCTCTCAGACCACAGTGGAATTAATTTAAAATCAGTAACAGAAATATAGCCGGAAAATCCCCACATATCTGAACATTAAATACACTACTAATTAACATGAGTAAAAGAAGAAATCTCAAGAGAAATTTTAAAATATTTTGAACAAAATTAAAACAAATACACAGAATATTGGCATTTGTGGATACACCAAAAACAATGCCTAGAGGGAAATATACAGCATTGTGTGTGCAGGGAGGGGGCAAAAGTAGGTTTACAGTTGCTCGTACGGAAAATAATACAATAATTAATAAATAATACAAATAAACACTGTTTCGCATACTCATAACTGTAAGTGTACTGTTGCCCACCCCTGTATATATGAGAAAAGGCGAGGAGCTTCTGGGCTGGTGAACATGTGGAGATGCAGGGAGCATGGAAGCTCCATGCCCCTTCCCACATACCTTGTCCTAGGCATCGCTTCCATCTGGCTGTTCCTTTGATAATAAACTGGTAATCTACTAAGAAGCCATGTGATTCTACTAAGAAGCCAAAAGAACACATGTGATTCAATTTATAGGAAATAGGCGAATCTATAAAAACAGAAAGTAGACTAGCAGTTACTTAGAGCTGAGGGTGATGGAGGCATTGGAGTGATCGCTACAAAGTACACAGTTTCTTTTTGAGGTAATGAAAATGTTCTAAAATTAACTGCAGTGAGGGTTGCCTCTATGAACCACCAATGGTTCATCATATTCATATTCATTAAGTATGAATTTCAATGAACCAAAAATCATTGAACTGCATATTTTAACTGGGTAAATTGTATGGTATGTGAATTATACTTTATAAAGCAATTTAAAGAAGAAAATGCCCATATTTTTTAGAGAAGCAAACTTAATATAGCACAATGTTTAGAAATGCTTTAAAATTCTTAGCAAAGAGATAAAGCAAATGTGGCAAAATCATTAATAGCTTTTGAATCTAGGTAATGGGTACTATACTATTTTCTAATTGAGCAAATTTGAAAATTTCCTCTAAAACAAAAAGGCAAGTACTTCCGCAACAAAACATAGACAATCTCCTCTAAAGCAACATCTAATTATTAGGTACCTGGCTCTCTTGACTCTGATATCTTTTAAGCAGAATAAAATACTCCACACTACTCTGAGAGCAATTTATCATTTTGCCTGCACTACAAAGTAATTTTACTTTAAATGGTAATTACAAAGATGAAACCTGCAACTTCAGATTTAACAAGATTTTCAAATTACACCCATATTACCACCTGTTTTGGACACATTTTTCCATTCTCCTATTTCACTATGTTGTAATGCAGGCATGTGGTTCTATAAAATTGCTAAGATCAACAGTGAGGTGGATTACAGCAAAAAAATTTCCCCCCAAAAGATACCTGCTGACACAGCACCGGTAATTATCAAAATATATTCTTCCTCTTTCATAGGCTATAGGTGACTTGGAATGAGTAGTCCAAACATTCTTAAATTTTGTACTTTCCTGAAAGACACAAAGAATTTTGGTTTAGGAAATCTATAATAATAAAAGCATAATATGCTAATTAGGCCAGACAGCCGAAGGCCTTCTGGATGTCATTCCAGAAGTCCTTCAGGACAAAGCCGCAGCAGCAGGGGCTGAGGCAGAGGTGGTTTGGGCCCATCAGGCAGGCAGGTGAGCAGTTAGGGGTGATCAGGCAGGCAGGCAGAGTGGTTAGGGGCGATCAGGCAGGCAGGCAGAGTGATTAGGGGCGATCAGGCAGGCAGGCAGGCAGGCCAGCGGTTAGGAGCCAGTGGTCTGAGATTGCGAGAGGGATGCCCTGCCAGGATAGGCCCCATCCCGCAGTCCGCGACGGTCCCCGATTGCAAGGGTGCAGGCCAGGCTGAGAGACCCCCACCCCTCCCGTTCACGTGTTTCGTGCATTGGGCTCCTAGTAACTCATATGCCTCTACTGTGCACCAATTTTATGATGGATAAATTTAGGGTTTTCAAATAAGTTTCACGTATGTAATTTAAAAACATTAGGTTCAATTCTTCGCCACTCTGCCTCACTCTCACGTTTTGGTTTTAGTGGGGTGACCAACTTTTCAAAAGATTGTTTGCAAGGAAGACATAAGCAGCTTAAAAAATTAAAAGCATCTGGCGGTCCTACTAATACCTATTTACTAATCCTCCAGGTTCAGGGCATCCATGCCCCTCTCCATCACAAATAACCTTCTTAAAACAGGGCTCTACCGCGTAAAATCGGCACCCAGAAGGCTTGAGCACCCCAGAAGGCTTGCGCACCAGGCGCCCAC